TGCAGAGAAGGCCTTTGACAAAATTCAACAGCCCTTTATGCTAAAAACCCTCAATAAACTCGGTATTGATGGAACGTATCTCAAAATAATAAAAGCTATTTATGACAAACCAACAGCCAATATCATACTGAATGGGCAAAAACTGGAAGCATTCCCTTTGAAATCCGGCACTAGACAAGGATGCCCTCTCTCACCACTCCTATCCAATATAGTACTGGAAGTTTTAGCCAGAGCAATCAGGCAAGAAAAAGAAATAAAGGGTATTCAAATAGGAAAGGAGGAAGTCAAATTGTCTCTATTTGCAGCTGACATGATAGTATATCTAGAAGACCCCATCGTCTCAGCCCAAAAACTCCTGAAACTGATAAGCAACTTCAGCAAAGTCTCAGGATACAAAATCAATGTGCAAAAATCACAAGCATTCCTATACACCAATAACAGACTTAAAAAGAGCCAAATCAAGAATGAACTGCCATTCACAATCGCTACAAAGAGAATAAAATACCTAGGAATACAACTAACAATGAATGTAAAGGATCTCTTCGAGGAGAACTACAAACCACTGCTCAACGAAATAAGAGAGGACACAAACAGATGAAGAAACATTCCATGTTCATGGTTAGGAAGAATCAATATTGTGAAAATGGCCATACTGCCCAAAGTAATTTACGGATTCAATGCTATCCCTATTAAGCTACCAATGACCCTTCTTCATAGAACTGGAAAAAACTACCTTAAACTTAATATGGAACCAAAAGAGAGCCTGCATAGCCAAGTCAATTCTAAGCAAAAAGAACACAGCAGGAGGCATCACACTACCAGACTTCAAACTATACTACAAGGCTACAGTAATCAAAACAGCATGGTACTGGTACCAAAACAGAGATATAGACCAATGGAACAGAACAGAGGCATCAGAGGCAACACAACATATCTACAACCATACAATCTTGGACAAACCTGACAAAAACAAGCCATGGGGAAAGGATTCCCTGTTTAATAAATGCTGTTGGGAAAACTGGCTAGCCATGTGCAGAAAGCAGAAACTGGACCCCTTCCTGACACCTTACACTAAAATTAACTCCAGATGGATTAAAGACTTAAACATAAGACCTGGCACCATAAAAACCCCAGAAGAAAATCTAGGCAAAACCATTCAGGACATAGGAGTAGGCAAGGACTTCATGACCAAAACACCAAAAGCATTGGAAACAAAAGCCAAAATAGGCAAATGGGACCTAATCAAACTCCACAGCTTCTGCATGACAAAAGAAACAGTCATTAGAGTGAATCGGCAACCAACAGAATGGGAAAAAATTTTTGCAGTTTACCCATCTGACAAAGGGCTGATATCCAGAATTTACAAAGAACTCAAACAGATTTACAAGAAAAAAACAAGCCCATTCAAAAATGGGCAAAGGATATGAACAGACACTTTACAAAAGAAGACATACATGAGGCCAACAAACATATGAAAAATGCTCATCATTACTGGCCATTAGAGAAATGCAAATCAAAACCACATTGAGATACCATCTCATGCCAGTTAGAATGGCAATCATTAGAAAAATCTGGAGACAGCAGATGCTGGAGAGAATGTGGAGAAATAGGAACACTTTTACACTGCTTGTGGGAGTGTAAATTAGTTCAACCATTGTGGAAGACAGTGTGGCGATTCCTCAAGGACCTAGAAATAGAAATTCCATTTGACCCAGCAATCCCATTACTGAGTATATATCCAAAGGACTATAAATCGTTCTACTATAAGGACACATGCACACGAATGTTCATTGCAGCACTGTTTATAATAGCAAAGACCTGGAACCAACCCAAATGCCCATCAATGATAGACTGGACTGGGAAAATGTGGCACATATACACCATGGAATACTATGCAGCCATCAAAAACAATGAGTTCGTGTCCTTTGTAGGGACATGGATGAATCTGGAGAGCATCATTCTCAGCAAACTGACACGAGAACAGAAAATGAAATACCGCATGTTCTCACTCATAGGCAGGTGATGAACAATGAGAACACATGGACACAGGGAGGGGAACACTACACACTGGGGTCTGTTGGGGGGAATAGGGGAGGAACAGTGGTGGGGGAGTTGGGGAGGGATAGCATGGGGAGAAATGCCAGCTCTGGGTGAAGGGGAGGAAGGCAGCAAATCACACTGCCACGTGTGTACCTATCCAACTATCTTGCATGTTCTGCACATGTACCCCAAAACCTAAAATGCAATAAAAATAATAATTTGCTATTTTGATGATATGTTGACATACCCTATTTTTAATATACTGAGTTAAATCAATAGATAGAATGAATGTTCCCTTTAAAAATATTTTTAATGTGGCTACTAGGACGTTTTCAACCACGTGTGTAGCTCACATTACTTTTCTAGTGGATCATGCTGGGCTAGAGGGTAGAGTCTCTGTTAAGGGAAGCTTATCAAGGCATGGTTTGATAGTGCAGTAGAAGACTGAGAAGTTATTTAAAATGGCACATTAATTCAAAGAGCATAACTGTCTTCAGGAAATGTAACATAGGGATAAATGGACCAATACATTGAGACAGATTCTGAAAACAGTGCTGCATTATAGAAAGCAGAAGCAGATGTTGACCAAGAGTGACTTGCCAAAAAAGTGTTCCGATCATAACATCTCTTGTTTGAGAATGTAACCATGTGTACTATGTATGACAGCTTTCTATCAAGATAAACAGAAACAATGAGTAAATATGCTTTCTTGCGGGTAATGGGATTTCCAAATGTTGACCTTAACCATGTGGTTAAGCATCTTTGGATATTTTACATGAAAATTAGCTCATCTTGGCTGGGCACAGTGGCTCACACCTGTAATCCCAGCACTTTGGGAGGCTGAGGCAGGCGGATCATAAGGTCAACAGATCAAGACCATCCTGGCCAACATGGTGAAACCCCGTCTCTACTAAAAAATACAAAAATTAGCTGGGTGTGGTGTCGTGTGCCTGTAGTCCCAGCTACTCGGGAGGCTGAGGCAGGAGAATTGCTTGAACCCAGGAGGTGGAGGTTGTAGTGAGCAGAGATCATCGCACCACTGCACTCCAGCCTGACGACAAAGCGAGACTCTGTCTCAAAAAAAAAAGAAAGAAAAAGAAAATTAGCTTATTTTGGATTCTTAGACCTTGAGAGCTGCAAGGAGCTTCCAAGAAACTGCCAAGTATTGGGGCTGGCAGAGAGCCACAGCTAGGAAGAGGCCATAGGGCATTGGGCCAGTCGCTTCCCTGTCTGGGTCTCAGTTTCCTCATCTATGTAGTGATGCCTGAGGGCCCACCTGGCTTTAACACACTCCCACCCTGGGACTTTTATAGTGTTCAGTTCCATCTGTGAGTGTTTGTTTGGGGTTGATTACTTATCAGTCCCCTTAAGGCTGGAGGTGGGGGTGGGAGCAGCCTCCTCCCTCCAAGTCCCTGTCACTGAGAAGTCTGTTAAATGGCTTCCCCACACACCCATCGCCCCAGAAAGAGCCACCCATCAGAGAGACAGGCAGAATGGCCGTTCCAGCTTTTACAGCCCGGAGGCCTGGCTCCTGCTAAATATTTCCATCAAGGCAGCACTTGGGAAGTGAGACAACGGCCTCTGTTTAAATGCTTTATTTAAAAGATCACCCCAGGTCTTTTTTGGAAGCAGGCTGGGTATGAATTTCAAATTAATAAATAAGATAAGCACAGGAGCAGCAACTGGGTAGCCACAAATCAGAAAGATGGTTGAGGCTTTGCCATTTGTCGGGACGTCCTTTACGGATTTCCTGCCTGCAGCATAAAGGACTCATGGGCTGACTTCATTGTTCATCAGGAAATCTGATACTGCCCACCCTACTCTTGCCACTTGAGGCTTAAATTCCACAGAAGAGATTTTTTTTTTCCTATCCTCTCTGTGTTACATGGGAGATGCAGAAATGATAGATTTTTCTCTCAAAGAGCTAACTGAATTCAGGGACAAAGGAAGTGAAAAAAAAAATGACCAGGACCCACAGCAGAAAGGACAGGAAGGGACATGTGTGAAAGTTCAGCAGTGGGAGCAGTTTCGGTGGGCTGAGGAAATCAGGGAAGGCTTCCTAGAGAAAAAGACCAAATATAACTACCTCTGGAAACTGGGCCTGGTTTTGCAGTGCCACTGACATGCCCTAGTTGTTCAGAGCAGGTCTTAGGTTGGGTCTCCTGGGAAACAGACTGTGGGATGGAGCCAAGTATGCAGGAATTTCCTGGGTACTGCTGTTGGGAATAGCCCCTTTGAGGGTCTGAAGGAAGGCAGAGGGAGAGGGCAGCCATGGCAGAGGCCTCAGTGATCCCAGAGGGAGCCCTGGAGCCATAATGATCCTTCACATAATCCTGAATGGAAGCAAGAGGCCTGGGCCTTTGTGGCCTACAACGACCAGTCACCTCTGTAACCTTGGCCAGAGGCAGGTTCTCAGCTGGGCACTGTCAGCAGCCACTGTTCTGGCCACTGGAGGGATGAAGGGGCCCCTGGGGGATGCACCGCAGCATCCACTGCAGAGGGAGGCCGGCAGAGAAAGTTCTGCAAAGGGCTTTATCATCCACTTATGAATGCATTTACTGAGTACCTGCATGACAGACACTCAAACACACAGGAGACCAAGACTCAGTCCTTTCCCTCCAGGAGCTTGCATTCTAGTGGGGAGACAGGCTGAAACAGCTATCACTTGGCAAAGTGCTAACTTCCATCTTCAAGCTGCATTGAGCATGATGAGAGTCCAAGGCAAAGAGTAGTTCTGCCCAGTTGAATCAGGGAAAACCCTCCAAGGAGGGGCCATGAGTCAGGCCTGGGGCCATGTGCAGGAACTCACTGGGCTGAGAGGGAGAGAGGTGTGTTCCAGGTAGGGATGGGGAGGTAATAGCACATCCTCCGAACCAGAGCAAATCTTAGTTATACTGGGATAGGCAGCTGGCTCCTTGAGGGACCAGTGACACCTGCCCTCCCGCTTTGCCTCTCTCCAGCTGAACCGCAAAATTAGCAACATGGACGACAAGATATATAAGATGAGCCGAGCCCTGGCTGAGATCAAGAAGCGGTTTCAGAAGACAGCGGCTCAGTTCATTAATTCTATCTTGCTGGCCACAGGTGAGGAGGCTGAAAGGTGGGCGAAGGTCTATATGCTGGCTTCCCTAGTCCTTTGACTCTGATAGGCCATCTCAAGGGACAGACCTTTCTTCAAGCACCACCCATTCCATCTTCAATCTGAATCTCCAGGGAAGTAGGCATGGTAGAGAAATTTCTCCATTTTAGGTGGGATCATTGGGCTCAGGTCACTTAAGGCCACACAGCTAAGAATAGTGACCTGGGCCCACTGGCATTTCTGAGCTCTCTCCCAGTGTGTCTTGCATGTCCCCATGTGATTATCTTATTTTTCTGGGTCTCTTGGTGGCTAACTATGTCCCTCTTGGTCTCCACCCCACACCTACATTCACCTTTCAGCTCCAACTCTCATATCACCCATCATCCATCTGAAGCCCCTGCTCCCTTCTTCTTTTTGTGGATCTCAGAAGAGAAAAAGCAGTCACCTCTCTAGGCTGTCCCCCGCAGAGATCCCCCAAGGCCAGCGTGGGTGGCCTCAGGATCCTTCCACATCTGAGCTCCCCTCCTCACTGCTGATGGGCCTGGGAACAAGGAGACATTGATCCCTATTCTGTGTCACCTCCTGGCTGAGCATGGAGAGACTGTGCTTCCCCCACTGCCTCTCTGGGGAGTTTCTCCTTGTCCCCAGAGACTTCAATTGACCCCTCCTCTGGGAAGCCTTCCTTGACTTCCCTAGCAGAATGGGTCACACCTCCTTTGGGCTCCCATAGCACTTAATTATTTATTTTTTCTTTTTTTTCCCACACAAGTGAAAGAAAGGATCCCACAGCACTTTATACATGTTCTACTTATACATCTTACTACTTAGCATTGTGACTGTGTCCCCTGTCCTGCTCCCCGGCTAGGTATTTCCAGAGGCTGGGAATTCTGTCTTGGGGTACCTCTGCATGCTCAGCACCCACATGCAAGAAATGCTGATGAGTGAAGAGATGAGAAGTCTCTGGCTTATAAGTTTTCCAGTCTAGTAAAGAAAGCACAACAAAAATATAAATACATACAATACAACAAAGAAAAAGAAAGTAGATGGAATCAACTTACAGCTGGAGACACAGGGAATAGCATTGCCAAGGAAGGAACAGCATGGGCCAGGAATGCATTGTGTAGCTAGTCTCTACATTAGGTGCTGGGGAGGACACAGGCTGAATGGAAACAGGCTCCAGCATGGGTGGGGAGAGTGAGATTGAAGGTAGGTGTCTTGAAAAATGAGTAGAAAGAAGACCTATTCATTCTTATGTTCTTACAACCCAATGTTTGGCAGCATCACTGATGAGTGACTGCCCTGGGAGAGGAGCACTGTACTGGAAGCAGAGGGGAGGTGCTGAGAACCAGTGAGAGCAGAGGGGAGGCGATGGGGGTGAGCCGAGGTGTGCTTCAATGTTTCCAGTCTGGGACTAGGGGCAGAAGAGTCCTGGCCATGAAGGGAAAATGACAGTGGCATCTTCTGTTAACAGGTCTGTTCACCATTGAATATCCCACCAAAACAGAGGAGGCAGAATTTGTTCGGTTCAACATGAGATCTGGAACTCATCCCGAGCGGGTCCCCAACCTAGGTTTATACTCAGGAGAAAGTCTTTTACGCTCTCAGTCAACCCAACCGGAATCCTTAATTGCAGAGACTTTGAAGGATGAGCCTGGATCTTCTCCTGTGAGCCCAGTTTGGAAGAAGATCACCAGAATCCACCCGAAACCCAGGATCACATCCAGGTTGGCTTAGTCCTTCATGTCTTCCGCAGCATCGGGTGTTGGGATGGGCAGTGGGTACAGGATAGTGAACCCAACAGATAAGGCCCCTCTCTTTTGGATCTTAAATTCCAAGGGCAAGTAAAGCAAGGAGATAAACACATGAACAAATGAAATAATTTTAGGCAGTGATGTGGGCTAGGAAGAAAAGAATTGGAGTAATGGGTTAGGACAGGGGTTGGCTGTGGACCAAATTTGGCCAAGCTGTCAATTTTTTGTGAATGAGCTAAGAATGCTTTTTATATTTTTAAGTGCTGGAAGGGAAAAAAAATCAAAAGATTTCATGACAGGCAAAATGATATAAAATTTTAAATGTCAGCCGGGCACAGTGGCTCACGCCTATAATCCTAGCACTTTGGGAAGCCGAGGAGAGTGGATCACAAGGTCAGGAGTTCGAGGCCAGCCTGGCCAATATGGTGAAACCCCATCTCTACTAAAAATACAAAAATCAGCCGGGCCTGGTGGTGGGCGCCTGTAATCCAAGCTAGTTGGGAGGCTGAGGCAAGAGAATTGCTTGAACCTTGGAGGCAGAGGTTGCAGGAAGCCAAGACTGCACGACTGCACTCTAGCCTGGGCAAAAGAGAAAAACTCCATCTCAAAAAAAAAAAAAAAAAAAATTTAAATGTCAGTAGCCATTTAATCAAAAAAAATAAGGTTTTCTGGGAATACAGCTACACCCACTCATTCCCATATCATCCATAGCTGCTTCCTCATGACAGTGGACACATTGAGGGTCAGGCCTGCAAAGCCTTGAGTATTTACTACCTGCCTCTCTTATAGAAAATGTTGCCTGGCCTCTGGGATAGAAAGTGGCTGGAAAGTGGGGTGGGATGGGCTATGGTAGAGGGTGAGGGAAGGCGGTTCTGAGGAGATGATATTGAAACGGAGGTGCAAAGAATGAGAAACAGGTGGACAGGAACAGACATGGGGAGGGAACAGCAGGCAGAGGGCACAGCAAGTCCAAAGGCACTGAGACAGGAATGAGGTTGGTATGTGTGAGACAGTAAAAAGGCCAGTGAGGCTGGAGTGTGGTGGAAAAGGGGACAACAATGTGAATTGAGGACCGAGATGTAGTCAGGAGTTTGGTCATGTAGCCTTGATAGTGTTATAGAGACCATTCCCTAAGGAAGTGGCATCATTGGATTCATCTTTATTTTTTTTCTTGAGACAGGGTCTCGCTTTGTCACCCAGGCTGGAGTGAAGTACAATATCAGCTCACTGCAACCTCTGACTCCTGGCTTCAAGTGATTCTCCTAATGTTAATTTTTTTCTGTATATAATACATGGCATGAATGGGCAAAATTTGTTTATCCATTCACCTACTGAAAGACATTTGGATTGTTTTCAGCTTTTTCTGATTGTGATAAAACTCCTGTAAATCCTCATGAGCAGGCATATATGTGATCATAAGTCTTCATTTCACTTGGGTAAATACTTAAGAGCTGGATTGCCTGGTTTTATAGTAAATGAATGTTTAACTTTGTAAGAAACTGGCAGCTGTCATCCCAAGTAGCTGTGCCCACCAACAGTGTAGGAGAGTTCCAGTTGCTCCATATCTTTGTTAGCATTTGGTATTGTCATGGTTTGGTTTTCGTTGTTTTTGGTTTTTTGCCATTCAATAGGCAAATAGTGATATCCCATTATCATTTTAATTTGCATTTCCCTAATAACTAAAGTTGTTGAGCATCTTTTCATGGCTTATTTACGTAACATTCATATATTTTCTATGGTGAAGTATCCAAATCTTTTGCCCATTTCAAAGTTGGATTGTTTTCGTACTGTGAGTTTTGGGAGTTCTTTATTCTGGGTATAAGTCCTTTATCAGATATGTGACTTGAAATATTTTCTTCAGCCTGTGGCTTAATTTTTTATTCTCTTAACAGTGTGTTTGCAGAGTAAAATGTATTTGGATGAAGTCTAATTGATAGAGGTTTTTTTCTTTTCTGGACTGTGATTTGTTATCATGTCTAAAAGCCCTTTGTTTAATCCAGTGAATTTGTGGAGACCCAAATGTGTGGGTCTCTTTCTAGATGGTTTTGTTAATATGGTGAATTACATTGATTTCAAATGTTGAACCAGTCTTACATTCCTGGGAAAACTCCACTTGATCATAATGTATTACTCTTTTTCAATATTGCTGGATTCAATTTACTAGTATCTTGTTGAAGAGTTTTTCATCTATATTCATGAGGGTTACTGGTCTGTAGCTTTCCTTTCTTGTAATGTTTTTTTCTGCTTTATCAGAAAAATGTTGGCCTAATGAGTTGGGAAGCATTCTCTTCTATTTTCTGTTGAATTGGTATTGTTTTCCTTAAATTTTTGGTAGCATTACCCAGTGAAGCCCTCTCACCTAGAGTTTTCTTTGTAGAATTTTTTTTTTTAAGATGGAGTCTCAATCTGTCTCCCAGGCTGGAGTGCAGTGGCGTGATCTTGGTTCACTGCAACCTCTGCCTCCTGGGTTCAAGCAATTCTCCTACCTCAGCCTCCTGGGTAGCTGGGATTACAGGCATGTGCCACTACACCCAGCTAATTTTTGTATTTTTAGTAGAGACAGGGTTTCGAAATGTTGGCCAGCCTAGTCTCAAGCTCTTGACCTCAGATAATCTGCCCACCTCGGCCTCCCAGAGTGCTGGAATTACAGGCATGAGCCACCTCACTCGACCTATAGAAAGCTTTTAAAAGCAAAATTACTTTAATAAATATAGGGTGGCTATTCAGGGTATCTATTTATTTTTGAGTGAACTTTAGCAATTTGTGTCTTTAAAGGAACTGATCTATTTCATCTAAGTTATTGAAATTATATGTATGACGTTGTTGGTTGTTTTTCCATATTATTTTTTTAATGTCCATAGGGCCTTTTGTGACATCCCTCTTTTATTTATGATACTGGTGATTTGTGTCTTCTCTTTTTTTATCTTGGTCCTTCTGACTACAGTTTCATCAATCATACTGATCCTTTCAAAGAATCAGCTTTTGATTTCAATGATTTTTCTCTATTGCTTTTCTATTTTCCATTTCATTGATTTCTGCTCTTTATTTTTATCTTTTATCTGCTCATTTTATATTTAATTTGTGATTTTCTATTTGTAAGCTTAGATTATTGGCTTGAGGCCTTATTTTCTAATATGTAAATATTTAATCCTCTAAATTTTCTTCTAATCACTGCTCTACCTGCATCCCACAAATTTTGATATGTTGGATTTTAAGTTTTATTCAGATTAAAATATTTTATAATTTTCCTGTTATTTCATCTTTGATGCATGGGTTATCTAGAATTCTGATGTTTAAGTTCCAAATATTTGAGAACTTTCCAGATAACTTTCTGTCATTGATTTTTAGTTCATTTCTGGCACAATCTGAGAATATATTTTGTATGATATTCTTTCTTTCAGTTTGCTAAAATTTGTTATTTGACTTCAGAATATAGTTGATCTTGGTATATGATACATGTGCACTTAAAAAGAAAATGTATTCTGTTCTTGTAAAGTGGAGTATTCAATGAATGTCAATGACATCAAGTTGGTTGTTAGTGTTAAGGTCTTCTGTATCATTGTTAATTCTGTCTTCTTGTTTTATTGAGGAACATTCTTGATAAAAGAGTGTTAATGTCTTCTACTATGATTGTGAATTTGTCTGTTTTCTTTCAAGGTTTTTATCAGTTTTCACTTCATACATTTTGGAGCTTTGTTGCTAGGTACAACACATTTAGGATTATTATGTCTTTTTGGTGAATTGACATTTTATCATTATGTAATGTCTTTCTTCGTACCTAGTAAGATTTTTGTTCTGAAGTCTACTTTGATAATAACATATCAGCTTCAGCTTTTTTTTGATTAGTATCTGCATTATATGACTTTTTCAGCTTTTACTTTTAATATGTCTATATCATTATATTTAAAGTGAATTTCTTATAGCCAGTGTGTACAATAATTGTATTTTTATTCAATCTGACATGATGTCTTTTAATTCGTATATTTAGACCATTTATATTTAATATAATTATTGAAATGATTGGATTTGTCTACCATTTTATTATTTTCTGTTTGTATTCTCTGCTTTTCTGTTCCTCTCTTTCTCCATTTTGCCCACTTTTTGTTGGGGTTTTTCTTATAAATTTGTTTAATTTCTTTCTGGATTCTGGGTATTAGCCATTTGTAAGATGAGTAGATTGCAAATTTTTTTTCCCATTCTGTTGGTTGCTGGTTCACTCTAATGATGGTTTCTTTTGCTGTGCAGAAGCTCTTAAGTTGGTTTAGATCCTACTTGTCTATTTTGGCTTTTGTTACCATTGCTTTTGGTGTTTTAGTCATGAAGTTCTTGCCCATGCCTATGTCCTGAATGGTATTGCCTAGGTTTTCTTCTAGTGTTTTTATGGTGTTAGGTCTTATGTTTAAGTCTTTAATCCATCTGAAGTTAATTTGTGTATAAGGTGTAAGGAGGGATGTAGTTTCAGCTTTCTGCAGATGGCTAGCCAGTTTTCCCAACACCATTTACTAAATTGGGAATCCTTTCCCCATTGCTTGTTTTTGTCATGTTTGTCAAAGATGTGTTGTAGATGTGTGGCATTACTTCTGAGGCCTCTCTTTTATTCCATTGGTCTTTATCTCTGTTTTGCTATCAGTACCATGCTGTTTTGATTACTGTAGTCTTGTAGTATAGTTTGAAGTCAGGTAGCATGATGCCTCTGGCTTTTTTTGTTGTTTGCGAATGAAGGCAGCCACACAGCCAAGGATGTCGGAATGTGGAGAGACATTTGCACATATTACAAGGTTATTATAGCTCATTCCAAATCTGAAGCTAAAGCAAGAGCAGTCCAGTGTATAGCTTTTCCAGGCCAAGCCTTCCGCAGAGATTTAAGCTGCTCAGGCTCTTGTGTTTATCACATTCAAGGTGATAAACTTGCATGGCCAGCTCAGGCAGATTCAAGAGCACTCCTGTGATCTACCAGTAGGTGATCCTGGACA